GGCGACGCCGCGGACAGGGCGACGCGGCGGGCAAGGCGACGCCGCGGGCAAGGCGACGCCGCGGGCAGGCGACGACGCCGCGGGCAGGCGACGACGCCGCGGGCAGGGGCTGCGTCGCGGGCAGGCGACGACGCCGCGGGCAGGCGACGACGCCGCGGGCAGGCGACGACGCCGCGGGCAGGGGCTGCGTCGCGGGCAGGCGACGACGCCGCGGGCAGGGGCTGCGTCGCGGGCAGGCGACGACGCCGCGGGCAGGCGACGACGACGCCGCGGACAGGGCGACGCGGTGGGCGGGGAGAGCCTGCAGAGGCGGCGCGCAATCGGGCAGAGGCTGCGCGCGGGCCTGACGGGTGTGCAGGGATCAAACGCCAACTGAAGGCAGCGTTGCCCCTAGGTAATATTGACAGACAACCTATCCTCCAGGAGTACACGTGCTGACTTGAGCATAGGGCTTCAGTGAGAAGGGGAATGGAATAAGGAAATGTTCAAATTCCTGACTACACATCAGACTTCATCGTGTACATAAGTGTATATGGTCTCGTCGGTTAATTGTGTTCACTATCCTGCGCACTAGTTTTGCCAAACCATGCACCGCTGTACAAGGCCGAGACAGCCTACGCATCAGGAATAGCCCGAACCTCACTGCCAGTATAGCATGGTCTAGCTTGCAACCTCGCGTTACTTCGCCATAAAGTTTTCGCTCATGTTTGTGATCATATGACACTTTAGTCCAATCCTCACTTTGCTGTTCCCTTGCACGCTTGGTACTATTGGTGATTATAATCCCAATATGCCAATTCGAGGCATGATCACTTTGACCCTATTTGTGTGACTTTCATGGAACCTATATCAGAAGCCAATGTTATGCATATCAGAGTGTATCATGTACTTTACTGCTAATGCGAACCACGATAATTCATGTCCCGTCACCATTCAACGGGCTTCATCCGCACGTTACCGTTTGTGCCACCGCTTCACAAACCTATGCATTGTTGTACGGTTTCCGACACGCATTTTGCGCATAAGGATTTTCAGTACATAGGCGCCATCTTTGCATCGCTTCATTTTTCTTCTTCGCCAGTTAAGGTTGAGGAAGATCCATGTTTTCACTACTAGTTTATTATTGTATAGATGTTGCAGTCTCGGTACGCTCATTCGATTGCATACGCGACAAGAGATACATATCACCACCTGTGATGAATTGCATTGTCAGTTTTATATGAATAAATATAATGTCATTTTTTAGAGAAATTAGAGTTTAAGAGATATCTGGGTGGCAGAATCTTCAAAGTCTGTTACATGCAAGGGTGCCAACAGTTTACAATAGAAAACATGAGAAACAGGGAAAAGCATCCTAAAATTATTATCTATGTGGGTTCTTTGTGTGGAAAGCTGGAGAATGAACTTTAAGGGCGGGTCCTGAAAGTACAAATACATTTCATTAGGTGAAATGTAACCACAATCTGGCTCTTCGCCACTCGCGAACCCGTTCATCTCAATACAGCGCCAGACTGTATAATTTTTTCTAACGCACAGCGTACTGTACAGACAGCGAGAGATACAACATTTTATGTCCCTGAAACAGATAGAGCAGGAAGCGACGAGTTCCTTATTTGCCGCATCGCCCTTGGGAAAACTCGCCCTGCTGTCGCAAATTCCACTTCGACAATGTGGACCTGGTAAAAGGCAAAAATCTAGACTACATGTCGCGGCAAAGTAGAACCGCGATTCTCTGTCTACTTTTTGGAATTCAGAATATTTCAAAGTGATGTTTACGTACATGGAACGCGTTTGTACCGCGCAACCGTACGTGTTGTTTTACGTAAAACATGGTCCTAAAACTGCTTACGTACTTTCTGGACCCACCCTAACGTATTACTCTAAAAAATAGGACAATATGTAATTGTACCCAGCACACTAAACTATTACAGACACTGTACAGAATTGGTGACTGTGGAGTTACATGCTTCGACCGATAGAGAAGTAAGAACATGCAAGTATATAGTACACCCTATTCGCGATAATTTTACACCATCCGCCCTTTTTTTCGTAGGTACCCGTTACGGTTTTTGGTTTGACGCGACGGACACCCAAAGACTGAGGGACTATTTATAGACAATTGGCAGGTAGCCTCTACAACAAAACTCGCATTGTGTTGGGAGTGAAGGGTTTAGTTAGGTTAGGGTACCTTTTATATTCTTTGCGCACCCCGTCAGTTCCCGACAGTACGTCGGATCCTCCTCCGGGGATTTTCTAAAAGTCGGTAACTACCATACAAAAATGTTTAACCTAGGGTATGTACCCCAGGGTGTGAGATTAAGGGGTGTGAAATTATCGAGGATAGGATGAAGGAGTTGATGAAAAGAACAAGCCGAAGTTTTCCAAGGTTTTTGTAAGAGTCAGCAGTACACGTAGTTCTCGATAATTGCACACCCCCTACTCTCTTTTTTTTAGATACCCTAAACCTATTTGGTTCGATACGACCTACATCCAGAACTTCAGTGACTATCAATCGGCATCACGGTGTAGTCTCTGAGAATTTGTGCAATGTATTTCAAGTGAGGAGGGGGGAGGAGGTGCCCTGGAGTTCTTGTTGCTTTCCGCGTTCGCGACAGGGGTGCGGGAAGGTCCCCCAGATAATTCGACCAACTCCGTGAACTACCCTGCGAAAATGTTGTACCCAGGGTATGTACCCCAAGGGTGTGCATTCAAGGGGTGTGCAATTATCGAGAACAGGTTGTATCCGTTTAGAACTGCCACAAATTTCGTTTTCTGTACAGCTGATGCCCACCCCATGCACGCGAATTTGCTCTGCACCGGATGGAAACGCTGCACCCGAGGTTTTTTCCCCAGCCTGTTGCACCCACGTTACAAGCGCGTCGCGTGGTTATGAACCAATAGTAACGAACAGACCGAAGTCAAACTGAAGAGACTGAAGTCAAAATGTCAACGGATAAGGTTACAGATCCTTTATATAAGCACCTGCGAGTTCTTTTTAGCTAGCTGCGAATTGACGAAACTTTTGCGAAATGATCGATACAGCTTATACGCCCCCTTCACAAGGCAACCGGGAGGGGCTCAATCAGGCATCAGGTGTACATGAGTTCTTCTGGTGGAGTTGCGGGGCGACTGCATTTGAGAAATACTGTACAAGGCTGGGCCTGGTTGGAGTGTTGCCCGAGCAGCAGAGATACAACTTGGGTTTTTAACAAAGTTCATGGCCGATTTTGTGGGTAGACGACATCAGAGGCAGCGGGAACAGTCTACGAAAGGACGGCTTCCATTCCAACTGTCCATAAACGATTTCTTTAGTGCTGTTGCCTTCACCAGTTCAAGCAGGGGTGTTTGCTAAGGTCGTGTACTGTGTTGCTTGTTGCAGGGGTGTTTGCTAAGGTCGTGTACTGTGTTGCTTGTTGCAGGGGTGTTTGCTAAGGTCGTGTACTGTGTTGCTTGTTGAACTGGTTGTGTTGTGAAGCGAAGCTTCTCTCTATCGGTTCCCATCCCGAAGTCATGAACCACGCCCACACATGCTTTCGGGAGGGGTTTTTAGGTCCACGAACAACGAGAATGACCACAGAATCGTACGCCATCCTGGGTGTCGTACGCTTCGTGGGTGGAACTGTACAGTCCGTGTACTGTACCGGTCAGTGCAACAACGATTCCCAACCCTCCACGTGTACACACGATGTCCAACGACTGTACGCGAGTTTGGTCTGTCCAATTTTGACATCCTGCCCAGTTGCAAGTAGTACCAGCCAGTTGCACGCACGATACAAGCCCTTATTTTGAACAAACAGTTCGTGAGATATTTTGAAGAAGCTGGTTACATTTCTTCACGTGCCCACTACAGTCCTGATTTTGCCCGTGGCGAATTTGAGCGAGCAGGCGAAAAAGTGCTGCTAACTAAACACCCAAATGACAGAAAACGTTGCGAGAGTCTAACGGGCATCTGGTGTACACCCTGTTTCTCGATGTTCGGACAATCGGGAGCCCCGGCTACAGTGCGCACGTGTGCTTGGATTCAGCGGGCTGGTGCTTGTAACCGAAATGCACTTCAGGAGAATGGTAAACAACGGTTCATGGAAGAAAACGTGCATTTGCGTTCGGTTGTATACGGTAAATGTGCTTATATGGTATGATCTGGGACCAATTTGGACGCATTCATGTCAGTACATCCGGCTTGTCAGTATGGCGAATGTCAGTGTGGCGCGAAACAGGGTGTAGGCACAGAGGGAGAATCCGATGCTCTCGTTTGCAGAGTTTGTCTGTGATTGTGGATCCTCCCGTCTTGACTTCGATCGATCACATCACAGGCAGCGCAGGACAGCTTCTGCTTCGAGAAGCTGACGCCTGAGGCAAAGCTGCCCCGTGGTCGAGCGGGGTGTGAGGGTGACGAGACGACACTTTCAGAAACGGTCCAATCTAGGGGTATGCGGGGAGAACGTGCCTATCAGGTTATCCGGGTGTGTGTGAGACGCCGCTGAAGAATACTTGGTACACAAGATGCCCAACCCCTGCACGCGAAATTGCCTCGCACGTTCCAGAAACCTTGCACACGAAGGTTTTTTCCCGGGCAGTTGCACCCACGTTACAAGCACGTCAACCAATACGAACCACAGAAACAGAAGAGACCGAAGTCAAACAGTCAACGGTGAGTTACAAAATTTTGCTATAAGCCCTTTTTGCCCGACGCGAATTGACGAAACCTCCACGAAATGCATGAATCACTTAAGCGCCCCCTTCACAAGGCAACCTTGGGTTAGTCAAACGGACATCGTGTGTACAAAAAAACGAATCCAGGGTCCAGTTCGAAAAAGCCCTGTTGAACAATCAATTTTCGCGCCATCGTAGGGAAATCACATCCGCTTCCTTTAGACCTGGTTGGTATTAGCATGTGGTACAGAAGGGGAAGAGGGAGAGTGTCAAAGCTGTGTGGTGGAGCCAAGAACCCAGTTCTCAAGTTTGAATGGGGCAACACAAAAGCTTCCCCCCCAAGGGGGATGGTCGAGGCCGGAGGGGCGAGGTGAAGGGGGTCCCCTTGAAAGCTTCCAGGTCAGGCTGGGACCGAAAGAAAACCTTGAGATACAAAAGTCCTTCAAGAATACCTTGTCTATACCAGAATCGCTTTCATACATACCTTGAAGTTTCACTCAAGATGGGATGACTGGCCTGGTAACGTAGGCTGCTGGTTCATGCGTCGTCACGTTTGCGGACAGGACGAGACATTACGTAAATGCTCGAGATGTGAAACGAGCCCTTTTGAGATGTGAACTCTGCATCCTGCCCACCCGACAGTTCACTCAGCCAGAGCTGTGGCCAGACACAAAGCGTCATTCCTACAGATCTTTGTTGTCCATGCAACGTTAGTCTCCATGCAAACGCAGGGCGAGAGCCGCGGGGGCGGGGAAACTAGAAGCAGCAGCGAGTGCGAAATCAAGTCCCCGCGTGGAGTGGTTGACGCCGCCGTGAGGACTGTTGCTGGTTCCGCGGAGCACATCGCGGGATCATCAGATAGACTCCTCAGCGACGACGGAAGCAGCGTCCCTAGCCGTGACAATACGAGCGCGCCGTCGTCGTCTTTCCCGCGCGTCGTCGAAGTCGTGACCTTCGCGGAGCCCGGACCTCGCTCCGACGTGCCCGGCATGCGTCTGCAGCTACAGACGGCCCCCAACCCGCTAGGGCCGCGGTCCATGGCTCTCGACGGGCTGTCGCGGTACGAGCTGGTCGAGGCGGTGAAGCGGCTCCAGGCGGACCACGAAAACTACAGACGCGAAGGTAATGACATCCGCCGCGGCTCGTACGAGGTGAAACAACTCGGCGCGTCGCGTCTCAGTTGCCACAGCCGCAAAGCGCATCCTGCCACTCTCCGCGTCTCTCCCCTCTGGCCTCACCCGCATTCTGTCATCGTCGCGCACGTCACAGCGCACACGTCACAGCGCGCATGTCACAGCGCGCACGTCACAGCGCATACGTCACAGCGCGCATGTCACAGCGCGCACGTCACAGCGCATACGTCACAGCGCGCACGTCACAGCGCGCATTCCGAGACGGTCTGACGACGGACCTTCACGGCCTTGCGGCTTTCCGTGCGTATCGCCGTCTGCGTCAATGCTGCGAGCACCGGGAACGCAAATTGTTGTCCACGCAATCCCGTCGTGTCACCCGCTCTTTGTCGCCGGACGCAATCCCCATTGCTTGGGATGTTCCGCCTTACCCGGCCGTGTACCCCGCACCGCACCCACACGCTCTCCCCTCTCCACCCCCTACCCCGCGGACCTGCAGTGGCATTCCAGAAGGACCTGCTGGCGTCGGTGGGGCAGGCCGTCATCTGCACCGACCTGGCCGGCACCATCACCTACTGGTGCGTCCAAACGCGACGCGGCTAACAACGCGGCCGGAGTAACGGTTCGCGACAAGGGTTTGTGACAGCTCGAACAGGGCGTTGCTCGAAGTGATGAATGAATGACTGATTGCTGTTCGATGAGGTTGGGTTGACTGCGCTCCCCCCCCCCACACCAATTATCCAGTCTGCGCGCGCCTGCTTCCGCCTCTCCTGTTTCCCCATCACGCATGCGGCATGTTCCCGCAGGAACAAGGCGGCGGAGATGATGTACGGGTGGCGCGAGGACGAGGCGGTGGGGCGGCCGATCATGGAGGTGACGCCGGCGGACACGACGGTGCAGCAGGCGGAGGAGATTTTTGGCGCGCTCAGCAAAGGGGAGGTGTGGACCGGCGAGTTCCTCGTCAGGCGCAGAGACGGCTCGCCCTTTCCCGCCATGGTGCGCGCTGCTCTTCCCCGCCATGATGCGCGCTGCTCTTCCCCGCCTTGGTGCGCGCTAATCTTCCACGCGATGCTGCGCGCTACCTCTCATACGACCCAGCGTACCCTTCACTCTCCTCATCCACGTCGCCTTTCCAATCACCGTCTGCTCCCCACGCGCGCGGCCTCGCAGGTGACGGACACGCCGATTCTGGATCCGGCGGGGCAGCTGGTGGGGGTGATAGGCGTGTCGGCGGACATCAGCGATCTCAAGCGCAAGGAGGGCGAGATCCGCGCGCTCAACGCGGCGCTGGAGGAGCGCGTCGTGGAGCGCACGGAGCAGCTGCAGCGCAGCAACGAGGCGCTGCGGCGAGAGATTGAGGAGCATTTGCGCGCGAGGGAGCACCTGCAGCGATGCATCGAAGTGAGGGGCGGTCATGCCAGGAGTCACTAAAACATTCGTTACTGGAAGAATCACAGTTACCCCCTCTTGTATCGATAGCGCTGACCTGTGCTTCGTGTGTGTGCGCATGGTGACAGGACTTGGAGCAATCGCGCAGCCGCATATCGCAGCAGTCGGCGGTGCTGGAGCGGATGGTGGCGGAGCTGCGCGAGGCGCGCACGGAGGCTGAATCCGCGAACCGCCTCAAGTCGCAATTTCTGGCGTCCATGAGCCACGAGATCCGCACCCCCATGAACGGCGTGCTCGGTGAGACGCGCACTCTGAGTCTACCCCGGCACGGCCTGCTGCACGCACGCTAACGGACTTGCGCTCACGTGCTCCTCACAGACTCTTGCCTTGCTGGATACTCAATTTCTATCCTCATCTGCCATACGCGCATGGTTGCCCACAGGCATGACGCGGCTGCTGCTGTCGACGCCGCTGTCGGAGGAGCAGCACGGGTTCGTGGACACGATTCGCAGCAGCGGCGACGCGCTGCTGGCGATCATCAACGACATTCTGGATCTGAGCAAGATCGAGGCGGGCGAGCTGGAGATGGAGCACCGCGACTTCGACGTCACCGCGTGCGTCGAGGACAGCGTCAACCTGCTCGCGGTCAGTGGAGCTCGCTCGGTCGCTCGGGATTTCTCTCCGCACCTATAATGGCCTCGTCTACGCTTGGCAGTGTTCGGTTCTGTCGACTATACCGATTTAGTCTGACGTTCTCGTGCACGTGTTAGGGATGCGCGGAACCTACAAGCGCAGAAACAGGGAGCATCGCATAGAAACGTGACAGAAAACTCGGGCCAAATTCCTATCATGCGACTGCCCTTGCTCTTGCGCGCTTCGATGGCAGTTTGCTCCCCCGAGATTGTGGATAAGGTTGACTGCGGTTTCAGTTCGGGGATTCTCGAATCTCGTCATCAAGCAATAGCCAATAATCTCGCCCAGAGTAGCGCTGGCGGATGCAAAGACGACCACGTAGTTCGCAAAACTTCGCTGCTCACTTGGTATGCCCCGCAAAAGGATGGCCGGAGGTCTGAAAAGTTGACTCCCCGCGGCTTGCCCTCTCAGAAGCCAATCTCAGAGTTTGAGGATGCACGAGACCTAGAGGGTGCCAAATCCGCTCTATAATCCTCCACACTTTCTGTTTCAACCCCCATTTGTTTTCTTTCTCTCATTCTGCTGGTTTATTTGAAAGTCGAATCCCATTTATGGACTGAGTGGTAGTGCATGCTTGTGTAACTATTCCCTCTCCCTCATCTCCACCCCGCCCCTACCAAGTTGCGAAACACACGGTGAGTTAATGCGTTCGTGAGCCGCACTACGCACTACGACGACCGACACACACATCCATGTGCCCATATCCCCCCCTCCCCTATACCGCCCAGGTGCGAGCCATGGAGAAGCACATAGAGCTGGTGAGCGAGGTGGACGAGAGCGTGCCGCGCGTCGTGAGGAGCGACGCGGCACGGCTGCGGCAGGTGCTGGTGAACATCATCTCCAACGCCACCAAGTTCACGCACCACGGGGAGGTGCACGTCTCCGTCTCCGCCCACTGCCTCGGCGACTGCCCCGACATGCTCCAGCCTGCCGCTGCCTGCACACCCGCGCATGGCGCCGTGCTTGGCCAAGGAGCCACGGATGCCCCAGCAGAAGACCAGCAGCACTCTGACAGCAGCAGCGGCGGCGGCAGCAGCAACAGTGGGGGCGGGTGGGGCGGCAGGGGTTTGAGAGACACAGGGCGGGGCCTGGGGCCGGGCGAGGTGGAGCAGGCGCTATCTGCGGGGTACCGGTGGCACCGGCTGGTGGTGCGCGTGCGCGACACGGGCATAGGGATCGCCGCGGACCGCCACGACCGGCTGTTCAAGCCGTTCTCACAGGTGGACGCGTCCACGACGCGGCAGTACGGCGGCACGGGGCTGGGGCTGGCGATCTCACAGCAGCTCGTGGAGCTCATGGGCGGCCGCATCTGGGCCGAGAGCGCCGGGCTGGGCCACGGGGCTACCTTCTCCTTCTATATCACTGCACTCGCACTGCCCTTCCGCCCCCGCTGCACCCCACGTGGGGTGTGTGTGGGGGAACCTGTTGAGGGCCATGTGGGGCCTGTGGGGCAGGTGGGGCCTGTGGAGCCTGTGGGGCCACCTATGCCCCCTGTGCGGCCATTGGTGCCTGAGGTAGATGCTCAACCCCCCGGGGCTGTGCCTGCAGGGAAGGCTGGTGAAGGGGTCTCCTCTGCTCCCAAGCTGCTGTTCAGCCGAGCCGCAACAGCCAGCCGCGCCACCACCACCACCACCAACACTGACAGCAGCAGGTGCACGACAGGGGAGCAGTGGGACCGTGACTCTTCACCCCCCCTCCTCTCACCTCGCCGAATCGCCCGCAGTGCGTCGGTGCCGTGGCAGGGCCCCTCCGCCTCCTCCCCCTGCATCCCCGCGTGGCTCATCGACTCGGGCAAGCGCTGCCGCGTGGAGGCTGCTCTGGGGGAGGGGGGAGTGGCTGGTGTGGGGGAGGCGAGTGTGGGCGCGCTGGAGGTGGGGCTCAGCAGGGTGGCCCTGCTGGGGGCAGGTGACGTGGGCAGGCGGGAGCAGGGCGGGGGTGACGCGAGTGTGGCGCTCGCACAGGGAAGTGGGGACGCCACACACATGCTGCTAGACCAGTGTGACGGTGATGCCGTCATGCAGCAGCACAAGCACCAGCAGCAGCAACGCGGTATGAAATTCTCCTCCCATGCGTATGCTCATGCGCATGTCCACCAGGGGAATTTGAGCAGCAGCCAGCTGGCGTCGCCGCCCGCGTGGGTGATGGCGTGGCATGAGACTGCCGCCCGGTGCAGCGGGCGGCAGGCGATGGTGGTGGTGGCGCACGCAGCGACACGTGGCATGCTGACGAGGCACCTGCAAGGGCTGGGTATGAAAGTGAGCGCGGCCGCAGGGGGGGATGAGGCTGACACGCTGCTGCTGGCGCGGAGGGTTGGGGGAGGCGCGGAGGAGGGGGAGGGCAGCATGCAATGGGATGGGGGCAGCGGGGAGAGAGGCGTGGGGGAGGTGGAGGGGGAACGGGTGAGGGGCGGGGAGGAGGGCGGGGAGCAGAGGGACGAGCGCATGGAAGGGGAACAGCAGGGGTGGCGATGCGAGGGGCGGTGTGGCGGGTTTGATCTGATTGTGGTGGACTCCCGGCTGGACTGGCTGCCCGTGCAGCGCTGCAGCAGCATTGAAGGGGGGAAGTGTAGCAGGGGGGAGTGCGTCAGCAGCAGGTGCAGCGAGGGGGGCAGAGGGGGCACGAAGGTGGTGCTGCTGACGCCCTACTCCGGCAACGTGCAGGTAGGTCGCTCTTGCATGCCTTCCGCTATTCTCCTCCTCCTTAAGGTCTCTTTGTTGCTATTATTGAGCCACATCGCACGTCTCACCCCTTCCCTCCTCTGCTGCTTTAGTCCATTGGTCATCACCTCACCTTCTCGAATCCCCCACATCCCTTGCCCTCCTGCCACCCTCTCATTCCCATCTCATTATGACTCTCCCTTCTCCCTCCCTCCCACTCCCTTTTCCCCCTCTCCCCTCTCCCCTCTACCCCTCTCCCCCTAAAACCCTCTCCCCTTCTCCCCATCTCCCCTTCTCCCCACTCTCCCCCTCTTCCCCTTCTACCCCTCCCCATCCACCACCCCAGCTGCCGCACATACGAGGAGTGCAGGTGGCGGCGCTGCCCCGCCCAGTGCGCCAGATCGCCCTCAACCGCCTCCTCTCCGCACTCTTCCCCCCGCCACCACCCCTATCCCCCCCCCGCCCCACCCTTCCTGCCAACCCTGCCTCCTCCGCCGAACCTTCCGCCGAGCCTGTCACCCAACCTGCTTCCGAGCCTGCCACGATGGCTGAAATAGAGGCGCCAGAAGGGGAGTGCAGTGCGGGAGAGGACAGCGGGGAGGGGGGAGAAGAGGAGGGGGGGGGAGCAGAGGGGATGGGATTCGGAAGGGGCGAAGAGCAGGAGGGCAGTGAGCAGTCCTGTGAGGTCTCTGATGTGCGTTGCCATGGGGGTGGGAGAGCGACGAGGAGGGGGGAGAGAGGAGAGGAGGCAGAGGGAATGAGGAGAGGGGGAAGGGATAAGGGGGTTGCAGTGGAAGGGAGTGCACATGGCGCAGCAAAGCGAGGGGCGGCTGGTGCAGTGCAGGGGGGGGTGGCGGGCAGAGCCAAGGGGGTGGCAGACGGGGCGGCGAGCAGGGCAGGTGGCACAAGGGAGTGCAGGGCAGGTGGCGCAAGCGTAAGGGAGTGCGGGGCGGAGCGAGCGGGGTTCCGAGTGGGGCTGGCCGAGGCACATCCCCTGCGCATACTGCTTGCGTACGTGCCATGGTGGTGTGCTGTGGGGTGCTGTGGGTGGCATGGGGTGGTGTGGGATGCCATGGATTGGTGTGGGGTGCCATAGGGTGTGTGGGGTGCCATGGGGTGGGGCATGGGGTGCCATGGGGTGGGGCATGGGGTGTCATGGGGTCACACGGGGTGGTGTGGGATGCCATGGATTGGTGTGGGATGCCATGGATTGGTGTGGGATGCCATGGATTGGTGTGGGGTGCCATGGGTTGGAGCATGGGTTCCCATGGTGTGGCATCGGGTTCCGAGGATGATGTGGGGTAGCATTTCCTGGGTTGGCCTGGGTTGGCAGGGCACACCATGTCACAACTGACAAATCCTTTGTGATGTATTTGATGCATGTGCCTGTGGCTGCAAAGCAGTGCCTTGCCAGAAAGAGGTTGATGGCGGCATTTGACTCTGCAATTTCTTCTTCCAGACCTCTGCTACTCCATCTCCCTCTCTCCTCTCTCATCTCTCTCCCTCTCTCTCTTATTCTCCCTCACTCCATCTCTCCATGCTCCCCCCCCCCTGTCTCCCCGCAACCGGTGTGCGTGCATGGCATGTATGGCATGTATGGCATGTATGGCAGGGAGGACAACGTGGTGAATCAGAAGGTAGCAACGAAGATGCTAGCGCGCATGGGGTACGAGTGCACCGTCGCCAACAACGGCCATGAGGCCATTCTCCGCCTGCAGGCCCACCCCTTCGACCTCGTGCTCATGGACGTGCAGGTCAGCAGTGGGGAAGTGGAGACATGCATAATGTGTGTACTCATGCTGGCATGCGTTAATGCATGTATGTATGTGTGCGTGTGTGTGTGTGTGTGCATGCATGGCTCAAGCCTCACGGCACATGCCTTCAACCGCTTGCTCATGCCCCCTCCCGACCCCCTTCCAGATGCCAGTGCTGTACAGCAGAGAAGCCACGCAGAGCGTCGCCGCGATCTGCTGTCCCAACACAGGATAGGCACGGCACCTCACAACACCCTTGCCCTCCTCTTTCCTCCCCTCCCCCCTCTCTCTCCCCACTTCCCCCTCCCCAGATGCCAGTACTGGACGGAATAGAGGCCACGCGCCGCATTGTCTCTCAGTGGCCTGTGTGGCGCCCTGCCTGCCCGCACCCGCCCATCTTCGCGCTCACAGCCAACGTGTTGGAGACAGACCGCGTGCGGTGCCTGGCGGCGGGCATGGAGGGCTTCATCGCCAAGCCCATCCATCTCAACGACCTTGTCCGCGCTGTTGAATTCGGCAGTAACCGCCGCCGCCAGCAGGAGCAGCAACGGCAGGAGCAGGAGCGGGAGGAGCATGGAGAGAGTTGAGGCAGCAGAGGATCCACCAGCAAGAGCAGCGGCAGCGGCAGAAGCAACGAGACACGCATCCAGAGTGATGACGCCCATTGGTGCACGGCCCACCTTGGCTCTCACAACCAACGTGTTGCAGACAAACTGCATGCGCTGCCTGGCTGGCGGCACGGAGGCTTCATCGGTAGCAGGAGTTAGGCAACTTCGCGTCAACAGCTTGGTCCACGCCATAGAGTTTGACAGTAACCGCCGCTGCCAGCAGAGGCAACGGCTGCAGGAGCAGCAGCAGCAGATGCAGCAGCAGCAGAAGCAGCAGTAGTGTTACCGGCAGCCTGCAAGAACTCCCAGCAGCACTGCCCCAGCAGCACTGCCCCAGCAGCACTGCCCCAGCAGCACTGCCCCAGCAGCACTACCCCAGCAGCACTACCCCAGCAGCACTGCCCCAGCAGCACTACCCCAGCAGCAGCAGCGGGTGCAGCACTGTGTGGTGGCGCCCACAGCGACCACCGTCACGCCCCGGCACAAGGCTCATGGCCTCACACCTTTCCCACAGTATATCCATGGCATATACGAATGTGATTTGCTTTATTTATGTATTGCTCTATTTATGTATGAACCTCTTGGTTTCCGCGTGATCGTATTAAGCATTGGCCTGCCTACTTTCCACATCTGCCTGCTTTAGGGTAGCGTCACAGCGAACAGGACAAGAGAGAGAATGGAGAAAGCATTTCATCACAAGAAGGGAAATACAAGGTGATGGGAAACTGACAGTATCCGTGCAGCTGCCTCTCGAGTCCCCATGGCATGGCAGCTGGTGGTGAAGTGCATGGCAGCTGGTGGTGAAGTGCATGGCATGGCATTCAGATCAGAAGATGATGTTGTCATCGTCCTCCTCCATGCCCATCCCCATGCCCACATGCATCCCGCCCTCCCTGCCCATGCCCTGGTCCATGGCTCCCCCATCATCCATGCTGCCGTCCATGCCACTGCCCTCGCATCCACCACCCCTGCTCTCCCTCCTCTGCCCGTTCGTCCTGCCTTGAGCCTCTCTAACCTCCTGCCCTCCGCCCTCCAGCCCTCCCCCTTGGTGCCCTTCCCCCTCGAGCCCGACCCCTTGTGCAGAGTGCGCGAGCAGCAGCGCATGGGAGAGGGCGCCTGGGGAGAAGAAGGAGTGCAGCACTCGCTGCCGGATGGCGTGCCGTGGTGCGTGCACAGCGCTCTGAGGGGGGTATTGATATCGCGAGGGGCAAAGGGGAGAAGGGGTGGAAGTGAGGCGAGGAGGCTTGCAGCTGAAGGAGGGACATGGCTTGGGACATGCTTGGCGCTCTGAAGCACGTGCAGGGAGGGAGGGTGGGGAGTGCGGGGAAGGGAATGAGAAAAGGGCAGAGCAATTGGTTGTGGATAAAGTGGTCCTTGGCACGGGTGGCATGGCATGGCATGCTGGTGCGGGGAGGGGGCGAGGAGGTAAGAGGGGAGCGGAGAGAGGATGGGACGACGGAAGCGAGCAAGAAGCACTCTGCATGGCCCATCATCGTCATGCCATGGCATGGCATGGCATGGCATGGCATGGTACATGATGTGACAGCTCAGCTCACCCTCTGGGTTGTCTGCCACTCCTCTGCCAGCCTGTCAATCGCTGGTGCCACATCATCGCTGAGCTGGCGCTCCACTCGCAGCCGCTCGTCCAGGAGAGCCTTGGGAATGGGCGGAGGTGGGGGCAGGGGAGGGATGGGAGATGATTGGGGTGATGCTGGATATGGTGGTAGGAAGGGGAGCAGCAGGGGAGCAGCAGAGGAGGATGCAAGCAAGGGCACACAGTGCGCATTTCCATCCATGTGCCCTCGCTGAGAAATTCAAGGGCAAGCGAGGGGCACAGGAGCAGCGAGGAAGGCTCAACTTGAAACGATAGTTGGGGGCTTGCGGTGGAAAGAGGCCTACAGGGGGGTGCACAGACTCACGCAGTGCTGCAGAGGCTTACAGTGGAGTGCAGAGGCTTACAGAGGGGTGCAGAGGCTTACAGGGGGCGAGAGGTGCAGAGGCATGGCATGAGCGGCGGTGGAGGAGGGAGTGGCGTGCGGCGATGAGAGCAGCTCCACCATGCCCGCCTGCATGCCCGCCCTGTGCGATCAGGAGGGCAGGGCACACAGGGAGGCAGTGGCCCGTGGGGAGAGATGGGACGGAACAGACAGCGGGGCAGAGGCGGGGTGCAGAAAGAGAGATGAGACGAACCGACGGTGCAACGATTGAAACGGAAATGGAACGGGTACCACCTCCCACAGCTGTAACCCCTCGCACACCCCGCCCCACACACACACACCCCGCCCCACACACACACACCCCGCCCCACACGCACACACCCCGCCCCACACGCACACACCCCGCCCCACACGCACACACCCCGCCCCACACACCCTTCCTGCCAGCGCCACTCACATGTGTGCCAGCAGTCGCTCGCTCTGCTCCACCCCCTGCTGCACTCGCTCCCCCTCCCCCTGCGCCCTCCCCCTCAGCCCCTCCACCAGCCGCCCCACCACCTCCCCCGCACTCTCCCCCTCCCTCCCCCCTGCTGCCTGCGCTCCTCCCCCCCTACTGCTCCGTGTTGCTCCCCTTGAGCAGCGCGAGGGGAGAGGGCGGAGAGAAGGGCGGGCCAGAGGGGGAGGGAGGTGGGGAGGGGAAGGGAGGAGGAGGGGGGCGGGAGGTGGGAGGCGGAGAAGGATGGTGGGGTGGTGGGGGCGGTGGGGGCGGTGGCCTGTGCAGCAAGTGCCTTGTAGGCCTCCTGCATGTGCATGGGGTGGAGGGCGGCGGGGGAGGGGGGAGGGGGGTCAACGAGCAGAGTAGCAGTGGGTGGAGCAGTGGGAGACTGCGGTGAGAGACTGCGGTGGGAGACTGCGGTGAGAGACTGCGGTGGGAGACTGCGGTGGGAGACTGCGGTGGGAGACTGCGTTGGGAGACTGCGGTGAGAGGCTGCGGTGGGAGACTGCGGTGAGAGACTGCGGTGAAAGACGGAGGGGTTGAGAAAGCAATATGGTGTTCCACCCTCGTTACACCGTTTGCTGTACACATGTGATCCCAACCCCCCTGTTCCCCTCTGCTTCACACTCACACGCCTCTCACAAAAACACTCACCTTGCGCGTTTCAGAATCGCTGATGGCTGCTGACGTGTCGCGATGCAATAGGAGCAGCAACTTCTGGGTGCGCTCCAGGTGGTGCGCGTCCAATAGGACGGCTCCATGCAGTGCCACGTTGACAGCAAGTTGCCAGTACTGCTGAGTCAGCAGCTGCATGCCACGTGGATGCAGAGGGAATGGACAAGGAAGGGGGGATGAGCGTGCAGTGATCAGGAAGACATGCAAGAAAATGATCTAAGAGAGGATAGAAAAACTGTATATTCTTGCTTTCTGGCTGTTACTGAAAAGAAACACCCGAGCATCCTTTCAGAAAATTAACCCCTATGACTTGTGCGTCACTGCCACGCGGTCCTCCCCAGTCAGCTCTGTTCCACCTCTTCAGGTGGCCCCCTTTCATATCCCACACGCCCTTCCACAATCACTCACATCTCATCACACGCCTTTGCACCCAGTTGCACCGCAACACGCGCACACCTGGTGCATCTTGGCGAGGTAGAAGCGCTGCCGTTGAATCTTGAGGTCATAGTCGCCTGGTGGTTGGGCGGACGCAAGGATATGGGGATGCATGGGCGAGGGGGCGGGGAGGAGTAAGAGGCGCGTGAATGGACGGGGGAAAGGGGCAGCTGAGGGGGAATGTTGGGCGCGGGATGGGCACTGGAGACAGGGCAACTGCGGAGGAGGGAAAGATGCTACTTATGTTGGTTGCAACGAGCAACGAGCAAGCATCAGTGCATCTCGGTACTACTGATACCTGGTGATTACCCTTGCACAGCAAGAGGCAGGGCGATGGGGAGAAGCAGAAAGCATTAGGGCAAGGAAAATGAGCGACAGTCAGTGGGGCAGAGGACGGTGGCAGGAGGTGCAGATGGGCAGAGGGGTGTGCAGCGGTAGTGAGGGGTGGCATGCGGTGCTATGAAGCATTACCGGCATACACCATGGCGTCCTGCAGGCGTGCCTTCTCCTTGCACAGCTTGCTCACCTGCATGCATGCACCATGCCATGCCATGCCATGCCATGCCATGCCATGCCATGCCATTCCCATGCCATGCCATGCCATGTTATGCCAATCCACGGGCACGTAACGAATACTGAGGGACAGCAAGCAGCAGGCATGAGCACCACTTTCCATCTCGCTCCATCCATCCCCTGTCATCCCCCCTCCTCGCCCTACCCCCTGTCTCTCCCACCCTCTCCCCCCATCCGTATCCCCTCTCCCGACCCACTCCCGTCCCCCTCCCACCTCCCCCCCTCCCCCATCTCACCACGCCTCTAGCACGCGCCACCTCCGCCCGCACCTCCTCCAGCCGCCTCCTCCGCCTCCTCTCCTCCGCCCCCCCTGTCACCCCCTGCCCCCCACCCCCCTGCCCCATCCCTTTATGCCCCGCGGCCCCTCCTGCCCCCCTGCTGCTGCCGCCACTGCTGCTGCTGCCAGCGGTGGGGGGGGGAAGGGCGGAGAAGAGAGTCAGGTGGGCAAGCAATGGGAGGACGGAGTGGGATCAGAGGCGGGAGGTGGGTGGGTTATAGAAGAGAGGGTGGTGTGAGAGGAACGAGTGGGACGAGAGGAGAGAACGGGCATGCGGGTATGCACATGCAACCATACACACATGCACACACACTTTCACCATGGCCATACCCCCTTCCTGAACTTCCCTCACCTCCCAGCACCCACGTCCCCCTGTCCACCCATCCCCCAGCACTCTCCCCAAGTCGTGCGCCACCATCACCTCTGCCCTTCTCGCCCCGTTCACTCACCTGCCCATTGCCCTCCCCCTGACGGTCCAGCGGGCCTCATCCACCATGGCCGCCACGTAGCGCTGCTCTCACATGTGCACCTCTCCCCCTCCGCCGCCTCCCCCACTGACTCACCTCCCAACCGCCCTCCCCCTGACGGTCCAGCAGGCCTCGTCCACCATGGCCGCCACGTAGCGCTGCTCTGCCTCCCCCGCCCTGGTGGGCGCACACACGGGGGCGGGGAGCATGCGCGGTTGATGGGACGAGGATCGGAGAGAAAGGGAGCCGGGGGGGTAAGAGCGTGCATGGGGAATGAGACGTGCAACGCATTGCCATGTGGGGGTGCAGAGGAGAAGGGGAAGGGAAGCAATGCAATGGTGTGCAGGGAAGATGAGAATAGGGCTGGAGACGAAGGGAGGGAGGCGACATGCAGGCACCGCATCACCTCCCTCCAAATCACATCACGCCAATCACACAACATCACGCCAAATCACACCACATCACATCACATCACATCACATCACATCACATCACATCACATCACATCACATCACATCACATCACATCACATCACATCACATCACATCACATCACATCACATCACATCACATCACATCACATCACGCCTCATGACAACCCGGCACCCACAGGTCATGCACGTGTTTGAGCTCCATAGTGTTGCGCCGGTACATGGCGGCCATGCATGCACCTCATCACATCATGATGACAATCACAATCCAATCACAATCATAATAACAATCGCGATACATCACAGCACGGCACGGTACGGCACCCACAGGTCGTGCACGTGTTTGAGCTCCATTATGTTGCGCCGGTACATGGCGTCTGCGGGAAGGAGGGGGGCGCGGGAGGGTTGAAAGGGGAGAGGGGGAAAAGCGAGGGGGGAAAGGGGAGGGGGAGGGGATGAGTGGTGGGAAGTGGTGAAGGCGAGGGCGATCTAGTGCAGGAGGAGAGGCGAGGGGGCGGTCGGTGAAGAGAACCCATGACAGAATGAGCGGGCTGATACCATAACACAGCACAGGCAAGCAGCAGGGAGGCACTGTAAGGGCATCAAGGCACGTCAGGCGGCCAGCAGCAGGCGGGGCTGAGCAGCTGCCAGGGTTGGGAGCAGGGGGTGACCTGGCATGTGATTAGAGGCGGTGACGCCAGCATCCAGGGCGTTGAGGTCACACGGCGAGTACTGCCCCAACCCCTCTGCTGCCACCGCCCGGGACGGCCCCTGTGTAGCCACTCACACGCCATGAGTGACAGGGATGACGCATAAGAGGCACATGGTTTCGATTCAAGTGGACTTGGCACACAGGGTGAAACAGGGGATTGCAGTGGCAGTGGGTTCATGTTGGAAACGTGCCGTGCTGCCTCCCGTCACTCATCCATCACCCAAAACTCACCTCACCTCATTTCCCGGCTGTCGTACCACCCATTTCCCCTCCCACCCGTCGCATCCGCCCCCCGCGCACCTCATCGAACTGGCGTCGCTTCCACACCTCGTGCTGCAGCGCCACCTCCTCCTGCGCCTCCAGTAGCGGCTCTACCCCCGCCACCATCGCCAGCGAACCGGGCCCTGTTGTGAGTAATCGAGGGATGCTCGGTGAGGGTAATAACAGCGTCGCAAGGGATGCTCGGTGAGGGTAATAACAGCGTCGCAATCGCAATCGCAAGGCACAACGCACAGGCACCAGCCCCAACCGCCAAGAGGCACAGGCTTGGTGAGTGGGGACTACTGGATAACCACGGGAGACGCGCTGACATAGAGGACGTGATTTACGCGCACGAGAGATGACGGGTGACTCACGCGCGGGGGAGAGGAAGGCGGCGATGGCGGCGGCATGGGCGGCCATGGCGTCCAGCTGAGCATTCACCTGCCGGCGGATGATTACGGGAAATCATGGAACAATGAAGCGGGGGGGAGGAATAAGCAAGACGTCAGCTGCAAAGAGACGCGCGAGCACGAGCTCACGCGGATTCTCATCAGCGCAACGATGCTGCTCGACTGACGTGGACAGACAGCCGCCGCGGTTTGAGAGAATTTAACAATCGTTGACGTCTAAACAGGCGTGCGAATCGCACCTGCGCGTTGAGCGCGGGGAATCGATCGCGCAGCAGCTGCTGGTGCGCGTCCTCGGCGGCCCTAAGCGCCGCCGCGCTCGTCTCCTTCCTGCGCGACGCGGCCGTCACGGCTTCCCGCAACATCTGCTCCTGCTGCCGCAGCTGCTTCGTCCGCCGCTCGATCGCCGGCAGCAACGCTTCGGGATCGTCCATTTTGGAGAGAGAGAGAAGAGTGCAGCGGGAATGGTGCGATGACACACAGGAAGAGACTGAAGACACTGACATCAGATTCTTGATTGACGGAGGGAGATTAGCGGGTGCTCAGGGCCTCAGACGGTCACACACATGATGTCATTCGGTTGGGCTTCAATCGTTTTGAAACGCAACAAACCGAGCACAAATGTGACACATTAGAGAGGAAATAGATCCACGCGCTACATGTTCGCCAGCTATTCGTCGAACACTGGTTTCCAGCCGAAGCTGTCGTGAATGGGAATCGACCTTGATTTACGCCTCGGTGTGCTCCAAATCAAGAAGCCAGCTCCCATACCATGCCAGACTGCTTCCGCCGCTGTATGAAGCTCTGCTCCGCTGACTCCGCAGCACCCTCGGTATTATTCCGCCCGCCGCATATCGGAAACCATTCTCCCCACCACGGGAGGAGTTTCATCTTCCGAGCCACCCGCGCCTCATAGACTCTGCCTGAACCGAACCGAAACCGAAGCAGGTTTGCTCCGAACCCGATTTGCTTCCGCGAAGGTGCTTCCCGCTCTTCCCCGAATCCGCCACTGATCACCCCGCCCACGTCAGAACCACCTAGAGAACTCCACATTTCCCACAACCAGGATTCATTGGCCTTCGAGAATTCCATTTTTCTGAATCTCTGCTCCAACATCAACAGGTACCCGCCTCTTTCCGTCCATTTTTCTTCACCTCTCAGAAAACTACATTTTCACACCAGCCTACGCTCTTCGCTTTTCCGCATTGCGCGCATCCGCGGTGTCGCTAGTCCCGACAGGAATGGCGACGTCGATGGACGTCCTCGTCGCGCGCCTCGAAGTGGCCGTCGCGCGCCTCGAGGCCTCGCTACCCTCCCAATCCTCCACCTCCACAGCAGCTCCCGCCGCGTCCGCGTCTGCAGCGGCCAGCGATCACCCGTCGGTGCAGGCCTTCGACGCGATCCTGACGGCGAATCTGCAAAAGGTGACGGCGGCCGCTGAGAAGGTCGGCAACGCGGAAGTCACGGCGGCGACGAAGGCGCTGGCGGAAGCGTTCGAGGCGGAGAAGAAGATCGTCGCCGCCATTGCGGCCTGCAAGGTGGGCTTTGCTTCGCTTGCTCCGCCGTTCGCTGCCCGTGTCTTTTCGGCGCGGCGCGTGTCAGCATTCGTGCATGATCTCCATGGATCTGGACCGGATTCGGTGGAAGATTGGAATCTGACGCTCGTGGAAACAAGCTGGCCCTCCTTCACGTGGCCAGAACGAAGCGCAGTGCTTTCCGCGATTCACTCTCATCACCGGTCTTCCCCAGAAGCCTTTCACCGAAAAAAAATAATAATAATAATAAAATAAAAAATCCCTCATTCCGTTTTCTCCACCACTTCCGGTCAGCATTGTTTGCCCACTATTTCCCCCCATTACGGCTCCCCCTACCCCACTCCATCTCCCCCATTCTTTCTCCTTCTCACCCGCCACCTCCCCCATTCTTTCTCCTTCTCACCCGCCACCTCCCCCATTCTTTCTCCTTCTCACCCGCCACCTCCCCCATTCTTTCTCCTTCTCACCCGCCACCTCCCCCATTCTTTCTCCTTCTCACCCGCCACCTCCCCCATTCTTTCTCCTTCTCACCCGCCACCTCCCCCATTCTGCTGCTCGCGCGCGCCATCCAGAAGCCCGACACGTCAGCGCTGCCGAAGCTGCTGGAGCCGCTGGGAGCGGCGATGGCGGCGGCGGGGAAGCTGACGGAGGGGAAGCGCACGGACGCGTACAACCACGTGAAGGCCGTCGCCGAGAGTGTTACGGCGCTCACGTGGGTCGCCTACTCCGGCAAGGACTGCGGTACGGGGAGAGAAAAGGGGGGAAGTGGGAGGGGAAGTGGGGGGAATGCAGTACGGGGGGAGGGCAAGGACCGTGGTACAGGCAGAGAGAGGACGGGGGAGGGGGGGATGTATGGATGGGGAAGGAGTGTGGTAGGGAGAAGGGGGAAGAGAGGTCGGCGCACAGTCTGCTTGCGCTCGCCACTTGTCACGTCGACCCGCCAATGAGAGTCACAAAACATGGGCTCTCACGGGTTTCTGTGCGCTCCCTTAGCGTGTGGCTTCGCAAGCCCTTTCCTGCGCGCACACTGCCCGCTCTCGTGCTGATCCTTGTTGCTCGCCCAACCAAGCTGTTCCCGCTTCCCGCCGACTTGCCTCCTTCACGACCGATCCTCACCGACCTTCTCTTCCCGCCTTCCCTGCTTCCATCCGCCGTCATCTCCCATCCCCCGTCCCCCTTCCGCCCTCCGCCATCCCCCTCCCGCCACCCGCCATTCCCCCTCCGCCAGGCATGAGTCTCCCCGGGCCACACATCGACGAGACCTGGCCTGCTGCTGAGTTCTACACCAATAAGGTGCTGCCACGTCCTGCTGCTACGCCTCCTTTCTTCCTCCCGTCTCCGTTTGCTTTGCTCTCCCTTCGTTCCTCCCTTTCCGTTCCCAACCCCTCCTCGTCCCCCCCCCCACCGTCTGCATCCCACTCTTCCCCGCCCCTTTTTCCCTGCACCCACTCTTCCCAATCCCACTCCGCTTTTTCACTATTGCCTCTACGCCTCCTCTCCCAAACACATCTCAACGCTTCTCTCGACTTTCGTCCCTCTTCATCATCGTATCCTTTCCCCTCCTTTTCTCCCTCCCCCTCCCCCTTCCCCACTTGCTCCCCTCCCCCTCTCCGTCCCCCCTCCCCCAGATACTATCCACCTATCGCAACACGGAGGGGGGAGCAGCGCACGTGGAGTGGGCGCGGGCACTAAAGGAGCTGTACACGGTGGGATTACGGGAGTACGTGAAGAAGTTCCACCTCACCGGCCCCTCCTGGTCCACCTCAGGCCTCGACCTCCCCGCCTACCTCTCCTCCGCCCCTTCCGCCGCCCCTGCTCCCCCACGCGGAGGTCCCCCGCCGCCTCCGCGCGGGGCCCCTCCCCCGCCTCCGCCCGCGGCTCTGACGGGGGGCGGAGGGGGCGGAGGGGGCGGGGGCGCGGACATGTCGAAGGTGTTTTCCGAGCTGAACAAGGGCGAGGCCGTCACTGCAGGTGCGGGGCGTTATAGCAGGGGAGGGGCGCAGGCAGGAGAGGGATGGGGGCAGGGGAGGGGTGGGGGCAGGGGAGGGATGGGGGCAGGGGAGGCATGGGGGCAGGCGAGGGATGGGGGCAGGGGAGGCATGGGGGCAGGCGAGGGATGGGGGCAGGGGAGGGATGGGGGCAGGGGAGGGATGAGGGCAGGCGAGGGACTGCAGGTGAGGGACGGCAGGTGGGTGAGAGTGGTGGACGAGCGGCAGGCTCGTTCCTCCCCCTGTTACCCCAGCCACCAAGTCATATGGTCCTCCCCCTGTCTCCTCAACCAATTTCCTTTCCCCATTACCAAGGCAGGGCTGCGCAAGGTGACAGCAGACATGAAGACGGAGAATCTTGCTGACCAATCAAGGCAGATTCGTTTTCCTCCCTCTTAACCTTGCCTCCAAGTCATAAGGACCTTCCTTCCTCCTTCCTTCCTGTGCCAAATGCAGGGCTGCGCAAGGTGACAGCGGACATGAAGACAAAGAACCGTGCTGACCGCTCAGGAGCCGTGCCGGCCAGCATAGGCGGCAGCAAGGCCACGTCAGCAGGCACGTCCGCCGCTGCGAAGCCAGCTGTGGTGAAGCCACCCAAGTTCGAGCTGCAGCAGGGTCGCAAGTGAGCTCTCGCATGGGAATGGGGGGGCTGCTGCAAGTGAGCTAGCAAGCACTCGTATGGGTTGCTTCTGAGCTGTTCAAACCGTTTGCACAACGGCGATACTTGTGTGATTGCCTCAGCTTTCTGCGTTCCTTTCACCATCACATGCTGCTCTCTTACTTCGTTCACCCAATGCGTGTTGCTGTTCATGTGCATCACATACGATTGCATGATGGGCGATACTGCCTCTAAACCATCTTGCTCTCTACCCAATGCGTGTTGATGTGCGCGCGTGTGTGCCATGGCAGGTGGGTGGTGGAGAACCAGGTGGACAACAAGGACGTGGTGATCTCGGACACGGAGCCCAAGCAGACCGTCTACATCTTCGGCTGCAAGGGCACCGTCGTGCAGGTCAAAGGTGGGGCACCGTCGTGCAGGTCAAAGGTGAGTGAGGCCAGGCGACCCTAGGGTGAGGCCAGGCGACTTGAGGGTGTGGCACGTGCAGAATGAGCATGACTTATCACCCTGCTGCGCAAATCCTGATGCAGCCCCTTAGTGAAGTTTCCCTTGTTGCCCCTCACAAGTGTGCTCGCATCTGCCATCTTTACCCATCTCCTCCACCCATCTCCACCCATTTCCTCCAGCCCTCTCCATCCGTGTGCTCATGTATTCATGTTCCCAGCCGTCCTGGCATCATCTCCCCATCCAACCGTTTTCCACCACAATCAGTCCTAAGCGTTTTGCCCCTCTCCCCCATGTCCTCTCTCCCCCGTCATGCCATGGCACCCATGCGCGTGCTGACAGGCAAGGTGAACAACATCACGCTGGACAAGTGCACCAAGACTGCTGTCGTCTTCCAGGTGACACCCACGTGGGCTCGGCTCAGGTGGGCTTCAGGTGGGGCTCAGGTGGGGCTCAGGTGGGGCTCAGGTGGGGCTCAGGTGGGGTTCAGGTGGGGCTCAGGTGGGGCTCAGGCGGGGCTCAGGTGGGGCTCAGTTGGGGCTCAGGTGGGGCTCAGGTGGGATTTTAGAAAGTTATCATTCGGTTTTTTTCCAGATGCTTTCCAGATCATCTGCTGCTGCCACTCATGCGTGTGCCAGTGCATCAACCCTGGCATGTGCTGGCGGTGTGTGGGGTGGTCACTCGCCCACACACGGCCAGCACACAGCATCGGGTCACCACGTGTATCTCCCTTCCTGCCTGTATCCACGTGCACCACGTGCACCACGTGCACCACGTGCACCACGTGCACCACGTGCACCACGTGCACCACGTGCACCACGTCCCTCACCCGCATCCACACACATCTCTCTCTCCCATCAGGACGTGTTGGCAGCGTGTGAGGTGGTGAACTGCAGCGGCGTGGAGATCCAATGCCAGGG